GCATTTCCTAACTGTGCCCTAAGCTCTCGAGCCCAGGGTGACCTGCCCTGGTGGTAATGGTAATGGTTGGGTAACCGAACTAGTTGACGTGTGGTGTCCTTAAAAATGATACGTGCCTTTAAACGTCTTAGTCTGCTTTATAACGTACGTGTTAATTCTGTACCCTTTTTCTCTTAAGCTTTTCATGTTGGTCTGGTGGTGAGAATTCTACATTATTTTTTTTTCCTAAGGCACACCCGTGTTCTATCATGCGTTTCAGCTTTGGTTTCTGGAAGGTGGGAGAGAACTGGGGCGCACGTGAAGTGTTCTGAATGTGAACCCTGCCAGACCCGGGTGAGCCCTCCGCCCTTGATAACGTGCCTCACAGCTGTTGAGTGATTCAGACCTTGACAGAGACTTTCCGAAACGCTCAACCTAATTTGGTAGGATTTCTATGTACTCGCACAGTGGCAGCTTAATCAGTTGCACAGTTGCGAGACAAATACAGTCGGAATGGCTACATTTGGGCACAAACACAGCTGACTCTTGATCAGGACACAAGGCAGCTGCTGGGAGAAGAGAGTGGGGTGTGGGGAGCCTCCCGGCTCTGGCTTTTGAGTGCTGATGATAGGTTTTACAGCCAGAAAGCAGAGGGCTTGGTAGGTTGTCCATATGGGTATTGAAAGTAAAAAAAGGGGGCTTTCCCTCGCATACTTCGGGGTTCTTACCAAAACTTACATTTTTTTTTTTTTTTTTTTACTTTTTTCAATTACTGTCTGTCACTACTTTTCAAGTCACTATTTTTAACAGATCTTAACTAGGAGAGGTGAAAAGATACAGTGCTTGCCCTTCAGGGGTTTAGTACGATGTTGGTGGAGAGGTGGTGCACATAGTGGGTTGTGAGAACAGAATGGGTGAACTCCTTTTGTGGGGGTGGGGGGGCAGGAAAAACTTTCAAGAGGATGTGACACTTGTGTCTAAAATTGGGGGGCCAGCTGAGTACTAGGCAGAAGGCATTTGGGAAGAGGCAATGTGCAGGTAGGTAACGGGACAGGCAGGTGCAGGGTGTGGATATATGGACAAGGATGGCATCATGGTCACTGTGCTGTTGGGGGTGGACTGTTGTGAACACAGATGTGTCCCCAGCACTAGGGTGGTGGAGTGGTGCCTGGCACATTTTACATGCCTAATACATATGTGTGTTTAAACATTTTTAATTTTACTTTACATATTTTTTAATTTTTATTTTTTAAAATGTTTATTTTTAAGAGAGAGAGAGAGAGAGAGAGTGTGTGTGTGTGAGCGTGTGTGTGAGCGGGAGAGGGGCAGAGAAAGAGGGAGACAGGATCTGAAGCAGGCTCTGCACTGTCAGCAGAGCCAGATGTGGGGCTCAAACTCACAAATCTTGAGATCATGACCTGAGCTGAAATCAAGAGTCGGATGCTTAACCGACTGAGCCACCCAGGTGCCATCAATACATATTTGAAACAAAGAAAGGATGTTGAGGAACACAGAGGTCAAATCACCGTGGGCCTTGTCTGCCACGTTAGGAAGCCAGAGTCTGTCCTGAAATGAGTCTTTGGAATGTCTTAACCTGAAGAGTGACACGATCAGGCTTCACTTAGCAAAATGCCCCTGCAGAAGCGTTGGAGGAGGGAGTAAGATGCAGTCAGAAATACCAGTTAGGAGACTGCTGAGAAACTGGGGAGGGCCCAGAGCTTCTGAGCACTGTGAGCAAAGGGAGCTAAAGAATTTAGAAGTTCATTAGGAAGTAGAATTGGCAGGCCTTGGTGCCGAGTTGAGTGCCTGGGCGGATGAGGGTAGGGAGGATTCTGGAATGACCCATGGGTTTGCAGGGCTGCTGGATCCTGGAGTGGGGAGCCAAGAGAAAAAGCACTCTTGTGATTCTGCTGGTGCTTAACATCACACAGGTGTTCTTCCAGCTGGAGTGCATAATCTTTTATAACTGAGATGGCCTAGTTCCGTTTTACTCTGTGCCCGAGGAGCTGTGCAATATAGGCGTGAACGGTGTTTGTGGAATTGAATTGATATCTAACATTGTTTTGCTTTCAGCCTCTTTAATGCTTGACATGTTATAGAATTGCAGGCTTGAGCAAAAATATTGACATCAGAGCAGAAGATGGGAAATCCTGTCTTAAAAATTTGCAACTTTTGGTGTAATTTCTGTTTTAATATTTTATCTTCTGAATTACTGTCATCTTAGTTCATGGAATGACTCAGTATCACAACAGACCAGGTGCTAATTCTCTTTCTCTAAGAGGTTGGTTGTATAGTAGAGGTTGTATAGTATAGCCTAACCGCGGGTTAGGCTCTGTGTTGCATATTGGGGATTTCAGGGGTGCGGAAGGCACATTTATATGTGTGTAAAAATAAATAAGTGAATTGGGACCATGACTTTCTTTTTTTTTTTTTTTTTTAATTTTTTTTTTTTGAACGTTTATTTATTTTTGGGACAGAGAGAGACAGAGCATGAACGGGGGAGGGGCAGAGAGAGAGAGGGAGACACAGAATCGGAAACAGGCTCCAGGTTCTGAGCCATCAGCCCAGAGCCCGACGCGGGGCTCGAACTCACGGACCGTGAGATCGTGACCTGGCTGAAGTCGGACGCTTAACCGACTGCGCCACCCAGGCGCCCCGGGACCATGACTTTCAATAGTGATATGCACATGGCGTTGCACCCCATACTCCTTATCTGTAAAATGCTGGGTATTCATTATCTCTTCCTGTCTCTGCTTGTGCCCCCCCCTCCCGCCGTCTCCTAGCAGCAGACTGGTCTGGTGCGCTTCCGGCCTGGGTTCGCGTGCTGCCCTCCCCGTGCCTCCCCATGCGCATGGCCCGCACTGGTCTTCATGCCAGCCTGAGCGGCTTGAGTTCCTGTCACCTTCCTGAACTCTTTCTTGACACAGTAGCTCTGGTCCGCTTTTAAAAACAGAAGTCATGTTCTGCTTAAAGGCCTCAAGTAAAATCCCGGCCCCCTCTTGTGGCTCAAACATCTCAGAGAGTCCGTCCTGGTTGAAAGATCACCGAATGCTACGGCAACTCAGCGGGACCCCCGAAACACTTCTCAGAAGGGATGATACTTGATTCAGGCCTTGAGGAGTAGGATTTTGTTGGGTGAAACTGCACTGATGAGGCACTCAAAGAGCGCCTACTGTGTGCGAGGCACTGTCATAGTCATGCTTTATTGACAAGTTAATGACTAACGAGTGGTGTCTTTGAGAAGTTGCTGTTTTCAAAAATTCGGCTTTATGGCAACCTCAGTAAGTGGTGTGTAGGTAACCCAGCAGTCCTTAGTCTGCTGTTTAAACCCTGGGACCTATGAGAATAGAATTTGGCATGCCTTCTCTACCATCATGTAGTTTCGTCCCAGAAATTCGGCTGTATTCAGAAATGAATTACCTGGTGAAGCCACAAAATTGTAATGTAGTGTCATGGTTTTTATACCATGGTTTTTAAAATACCAAAATTAATATTAGGAAGATGAAATATCTTCCTGATGCATTTGGTCATAAAATGAAATTAAAAAAAAATTTTTTAATGTTTATTTATTTTTGAGAGAGAGTGAGAGAGGGAGACACAGAACTCGGAGTAAGGTCCAGGCTCCGAGCTGTCAGCACAGAGCCCGACGTGGGGCTCATACCTACGAACTGTGAGATCATGACCTGAGCTGAAGTTGGACGCTTAACCCACTGAGCCACCCAGGTGCCCCTGAAATTTTTATTTATAACTAATTTAGTGCTTGATCTTCACAAAACTGTAGCTTAGTAAAATATTAATATTAATATTAATCTTATGTGCAGTTCCTTTACTGACTCAGAATGTTGACTTCGACTAGGTGTTTATTTTAGAGGCTTAGTATAACACAGATAGAATGGTATTAGAAGGGTCATAAAATTTTTGTCTCTTGCTTTGCTTTTGTTTAGATCTTCATCTTCTTAATTTTTTTTTTTTTTTGACTCTTTGGTAGCTTTGGTACTTAAATCTTTCACTTTTCCCTGAAAAACCACACATATGTATATAATTTCAGCAATTTGGAAGTTTACTCGTTTTCTCAGCTAAAATCCTAGAGAAAGCTAGAAATCTATCAGAAAAATCTGTAAGCTGTTTCTGTCAACTCTCCATTGCTCATATATACACCCACGTATAGGCAGTTCTTTCGTGACTGAGGCCAGTCCTACTTGAAAGCAGACCCTTTTAAGTATTTCACTGGACCAGGGAGAAATGGGGAAAAAATAGATTGTGTTCTAGAGAATTGTATAGAAAGCTAGTTATTACATTTACATTATTACATTACATGATTTTTATTTTGAGATTTTTAAGTTCCAGAATATCCTCATTTTAATAAGTTGCTGTGATGTTTCCTCCCTCCCCCCACCCCCCATCTCCTCCCTGGAAAGTAGACCAAAATTGTGTCAGCCGATTGTAGATCCATCCGGTCTATTTTTGAAGTCTGTGGGTTCATGAAATCCAAAACTGGGTACCACTGGCCTATTTTATGCTCACCTTTAATCGGAGCTGGTGTCTGTGTGGTTTTCTTCTTGCATCAACCAACCGCCAGTTCCATTTTCCAGCACCAACTGGGTGTCCCTGTTCAGTTCACTTCTGACACCCTCTGGAGTTAGCGCAGGTGCTATAGTTAAGGGCTCGGTCCCCCAGGACTGGCCCCACTTCAGGGACCAGCAGCCAGTGGGCTCCTTGGGCTGCCTGCACATTTAACGCCTAGCTGACCACAGATTCTGCTGTTCCCACCACCTCCCTTCAAGTTCAGGAATTTGCTAGAATAATTCCTAGAAGTCAGAAAACTGCTCGGCTTACTATTACTATTCTTTGTTTTGTTTTAAATAAAGGATATAATTTAGGAGCGGTCAGGTGGAAAAACTGCATAGTACACACTCTGGGACAGGCACAGGGCTCCCGTGCCCTCTGCCGGCTTGCCACCCTCCCAGCACCGCGGGGTAAAGCTTGTCTGGGTGTGTTTATAGAGGCTTCGTTATGTAGGCATGAGTGATGACATGATTGCCCACTGGTGAGTGAAGTCAGTCTCTGGCCCTTCTACCTTCCCCGGAAGTGGGGGCTGGGGTGGAACTGAAAATTTCAACCCTCTAAGCAGGCTGGGTATTTCTGGCAGCCACCCTCCATCTTGAAGCATGGAGCCACTATTAGCATACCAGAGACATGTCTGTCGCCCAGGAGATCCCAGGGCTTTTAGGAGCCCCTTACCTGGAACTGGAGCACAGACCAAGGGATGTTTATAATGGCAGAGACGTCTGTCCAGTGAGGACAGGCCCTCCAATGCTGTGGAATGGAACTGGAAAGATTTGGTTTGCGTTTGTCACTAAGAATTCCAGTGGTCAGCGCCATCCCTTCTTGTCCGGGCCTTGCCGTGGCTTCCCTGAGCCCCCGGTGGCTTCCAGGACGACAGGGTTATTTGGGCATAACCTGTCCCTTACAGCTTTGCCACATGGCCGTGTTCCTGTTACCCGCTTCTTTTTCTTCTCTTTAATCTTGGCTTCTCTTGGTGCTTCTTGGCTTCGTTTAGAGCTGGATTTATATTTTTGACATCTCATTTTGAAGATTTCCTTTCATCTTCATTAGGAAACTAGTCAACTAATTTTTGCATTTTTGTCCTTGGCTACCTGGCTGTGTCCATCTGGCTTTGTTTCTGTGGTTGTAGCTTTCCCAGGGAAATGGAGGTGATCAGACATTTGATTGCTAAGTAGTTTGTATGTGTCTTGATTAATCAAGGATTAGTCAAAGCTGTTTGGTCAACTGTGTGCTTCGGTATTTGGAATGTCTCCAGAAACCCATTCTAGAGCAGTGGGGAAGGAAAATGGAGGTAAAAGTGGGGGCGTCTCTTGCTTTTAGATTTCCTACATATATTAAAAAAATTGGGGTGGGGGGAACGTCTGGGTGATTTAGTCGAATGAGGGTCCAACTCGTAATTCTGGGTCAGGTCATGATCCACGGTTTGTGAGTTTGATCCTTGCTGTCAGTGCAGAGCCTGGCTTGGGATTCTCTCTCTCCTTCTCTGCCCCTCCCCTGCTCACTATATATCTCAAAATAAATAAATAAACTCAAAAACAGACAAACACTTTTTTTAGGCATGGAATGATTTAATATACAACAAATGGGGGTTTATTGCTTTGGCTTATATGATCCTGCTGGGACTTCTGGAGGAGATAGTGTATTTTGAACCTTAGGAAACATATGTCCCGAAATACTAATTTTTGAGAATGGGAAAATACTGTTATGTATTAATTTACAGATTTGTTATTTACGATTAATGGTAGATTTGTGTCTTGGATTGTATGCTGTAAGGGGCACTTTGCCTAAGCTTGTCTCACATAATCTTTGTGCAGGGCCCTGTAAATGCTGTCACTTGGCAAGTATTTCTGCTGTGAGCCATGAAGAGATTTCAGCTTTTGAGCTGACAGGTGCTCTTTAATTAGGCATTTAGAAATAACTCACACTTTTTGTAATTAACTTGTTTTTATTCCCAGAACTAGTTTACCGAGAAATTTCAGTGCAGCATGGAAGTTTAGACAGTACCACTTTATTTCAGTGTTTGTGCTGCACACGTATTGTTATGAGTTCGTTTTTGTAAAGTTTCTCTGATGGAAAGGTAGAAATAGCGATGACCTCGCTGTTCTGAAGCAACCGTATCGCTCAGTGCTGTCACCCCAGTGGGTCTCCCCTGATCTTCTGTCATCACGTCACATGATAAGAGTAAAACACAGGCTATTGAGGGACGGGGCAGAGGTGTGAGTAAGAGGGGAGGGTCTGAGAGTGACTTGTTTTTGAGGATATTGGCCAAGAACCCACACTGATAACTGTTTAAAATCTTTGAGGCTAAAATTGGTAGAACGGGCAGTACTTTTGTTAAGGGTAAGGTTGGCTGAGCCACTGGGAGCACCTCCACTGGTCTCGGCTTTAAGCATCAGCTAAGTCTTGGACGTGGAGATTGAGTCGTTTTAATTGGTGTGGCCTAACATAACGTACCTGTTTTCTTCTGTTACCCACTCTTGGTACTTGATTTTTTAAAAATAAGATATGGTATGAAGTAATAAAATTCAAATCAGCCCTTTTTTCCCCAGTAGTAGTATAGAATATTTAAAAGATGAACCTAGTACATAATAAGAAATTAGGATCATCTTTACATTTTATTTGTGTATCTCAGTCTTATTTGGTAACAAATAATGGGAATGAAACTGGGATTTAAAGATCCTTCCTGGAAATTAGTCTTTTCTTCTTTAATGTTTACTTATGAGGGTTAGAATCTAAAATCTCGAGGGATCTTTAGAAAGGATCTCATTTTACCTTCGCATGTTTAAATGAACATGGGATGTTGTCTTGCCCACGTGGAGTCAGGACTTAAGTCACATTGCCATCAGTTGATTGTTAGTGGCCACTCCATATCTCACGGACCGGATGGAAGTGGTCAGAGTTTGTTACGTTGGCCTTGCAGCGAGCCCGATGGTAAGAATCACCTTTCCAGTAAAGAGTGGGTAATCACAGGTCACCAGTATTATAAACATACGTGCAGTTGAACGATGACGGTTAATTTATATCTGTGGTTGTGTTCAGTTTGACGAATGTATTAGATACTCAGTGTATTAGATTAGAAAACATTTCTTGTGTTTCTGATTTATGTGCTCTTCGTGGATCCTGACTTCCTGCCGGTCCCACACTACACTTCAGTTTTTGGTCTCTTTTGCCCCCTTAGACTCTACCCATCGAGGCAGGAAGCCTCTGTCATGTTCCCCGTTGTTCTAGCAGCCAGTGAGGCACTAATTGTGGGCTCACTCTGGTTTGTAGAGCTGAATGGGAAACTTAGCATATTTTAAATGTCTTAAGTCTGCGTGTTTTATTTTTTACAGTGAACAGAGTATTTGTCAGGCAAGAGCTGCTGTGATGGTTTATGATGATGCCAACAAGAAGTGGGTGCCAGCTGGTGGCTCAACGGGGTTCAGCAGAGTTCACATATATCACCATACAGGCAACAACACGTTCAGAGTGGTGGGCAGGAAGATTCAGGACCATCAGGTAAGGGTCTCTTACCTTCTAGTGAAAGTTGGGTAGAATTACAGAAGGACTGTAAAGTAGTCCGCACCCTGAAGGAGCTCTTGGCCGCAACTACAGTCAGCCTACTCCGTGTGGGAAAACTGGGATGGGGTTGCCTTCCCACCCTGTCCACCTTGGATGGATGAGGATTTAGAGCTAACTGTACAAAAATACAAATATGACTTTAAATTATGAACATTCGTTAGATCTTCTGGCTTTCCCGCTATCTAGGTTTGGGAATCTAAGGTAAATTTAGGACCAAAAAAATGTGAAATACCACTTAAATAGCAGGTTGTGTGTTTAAGGAATTCATTTCCTGCCAAAGGTGTGGGGCTAGAGGAGGGAGTTGAAAATGTTAGTAATTTCAGCAAATACTGTAAATTCATGTATGATGGAAACATTGTAGATTTTAAGATTGCTGGAATAGTTGGGTTTTTGTAATTCGTACCTGGGATGAAAACTAAGCCTTTCCTATTTCCCTGCTCCGGATTTCTCAGAAAGGTGACTGCACTACCTGATGACGTGATGTCTGGGGTCTCAGCGGACTGCGAGCAGTGGTAGACAGAGGGAACGTGGGTGGGGCCTCACCAGCGCCAAGTATATGCCAACTGCAGCAAGAACTTGTATAACGGACAGATTTATGAAATACTTTTGGTTCTGGTAAGATGGTGGACTCGACCAGTGTCAAACCCCTGCAGGAAAATAGGAAATTTCCGGCTGAGTCCTTAACTAAGGAAAGGCCGGTCCCCGGGTTTCTGCCAGGAACCCTGGTGTAGTGTGCAGACAGGTGCGGCAGCAGCCTTGTGTTTCAGGATGGCAGTTAAGGACTGTGAATAGCTACGGACTCAGGTCTGTCGTCGATGTGCAGCCGCTGTGGGCCTGCAGGAGGTTGGGCTTTGAGACCTCCGTCTACACGGGGTGGGGCTCCGCGCTGGGCCACACACCATCAGCATAGGACGCAAAGGAGTGTGGATTTCTCTTTCTTCTTTCTTTTTTAAAGTTTGTTTATTTTGAGAGATAGAGATAGAGAGCGAGCAGGGGAGGGTAGAGGGAGAGGGAGAGAGAGAATCCCAAGCAGGCTCTGCACTGTCAGCACAGGGCTCGAGATCGTGACCTGAGCCGTAATCAAGAGTCAACGCTCAAGTGACCGAGCCACCCAGGTGTCCCAAAATGTTTGGAAACTTAAAAACACTTCTAAATTCATGACGTGAAAATCACATCATTATGAAGAGTAAAAAATGTTTGGAAAATAAAAGACTTAGACTTGAGTGACAGGATGTGATATATAGAAACCTCTGGCACATCTAAGCTGCCCTCAGATGGACAAATCTTAATGGCTAGCTTGACCCAAAGAAAACAGAAGGAAATAGTAAAAATATAAGGAGAAATTAACTAAATAAAAAACATAAATAGAAATCATTAACCCAAAAGCTGTTTCATTGAATGGAAAAATTGGCAGAATCAAATAAAAAATGAAAAGTTACAAAAAATAGTAGGACTGGAAAAGAGATGTCATTATAGTTACGGTAAAGAGATCAACTGTACCATAAACAGCTTTATGCCAAGAAATGGGTCATTTTGTAGAAAAATACAATTGACCAAGACTGGCAGAATAATGGAAAGACAGACCCACAGTCAATAGTTAATAGTCTCCCCCCAAAATCTAAAAACCAAGGAGGGAGGGAATCTAAAGTATTTATAAACAAAATTTAAAAACCTTTAAGTTGTTACCTGTTTTATACAAACTCTTCTAAAGAGTAGTATTTTATGAGGTTAGTACAATTTTGGTATCTGAAACAGAACAATTTGAGAGAGGAAAATTATATGCCAGCCTCAGTTATGAACACTGGCATAGATACAAAAGTCCTCAATAAGATATCCATGGACCAAATGCAGCAATGTATATGAAAAAAATACCACCTCTTAACCAAATAAGGTTTATCTCCATCTCAGTAATGTAAGGCTAGTTGAACATTAGCTAATTTTTTAATGTCCTTTACCAGGAGAAACATGCAAGAAATGAGAGATTCAGAAAAAGCATTTAATAAAATCCGTACATAAGCATCTCAGTATATTTGGCATAAAAATGAATTTTCTTAAGCTGATAAGGATGCATTGTATAAACCTACACCACACATCTTACAGGATAGTATAATATTGGGGGGGAATTTCCATTAAACTCGGGAATTAGTTGAGGATTTCAGCTTTCGTCATTTTCATTTAGCATTGCAGAGGCGGAGGTAACCTAGTGACATGAATATGGTGGAACACAAGCTATACAGATTGGAAACAGAGTTGACCTTATTCACTGAAGTACATAAAAAATGCCAAGAGCAGCTGCAGATAAAATATGAGAACTAGTAAGATTGCTCATCATGGTTGCTGGATGTAAGAGCAGTTTAACTAGCAACAAACAACTTGAAAATACAGCTGACCCTTGAACAAGCTGGGGGTTAGGGGCATCGCCTCCTGTGCAGTTGGAAATCCATGTATAACTTTTGACTCCCCCAGAGCTTAACTGTTAATAGCCTACTGTCTACTGGAAGTCTTTTTTTTTTTTTTTTTTTAAATGTTTATTTTTTTTTTTTTAATTTTTTTTTTTCAATGTTTATTTATTTTTGCGACAGAGAGAGACAGAGCATGAACGGGGGAGGGGCAGAGAGAGAGGGAGACACAGAATCGGAAGCAAGCTCCAGGCTCCGAGCCATCAGCCCAGAGCCTGACGCGGGGCTCGAACTCACGGACTGCGAGATCGTGACCTGGCTGAAGTCGGACGCTCAACCGACTGCGCCACCCAGGCGCCCCTTTTAATGTTTATTTTTGAGAGCGTGAGCAGGGGAGGGGCAGAGAGAGAGGGAGACACAGAATCGGAAGCAGGCTCCGGGCTCTGAGCTGTCAGCACAGGGCCTGACAAACTGTGAGATCATGACCTGAGCCAAAGTTGGACGCTTCACCGACTGAACCACCCAGGCACCCCTAGATTGGAAGTCTTACCAATAACATAGTCAATGAACATATATTTTGTAGTTTATATGTATTATTCATTTTGTTCTTAAAGTAAGGTGGGGCAAAGAAAATGTTCTTAAAATCATGAGGAAGAGAACATACACTTACAGGACTGTAAACAAGACTATTTTGGAAAAATGTTTGTGGGTAAGTAGACCCATGTGGTTTAAACCTTTGTCGTTCGAGGGTCAGCTGTATAATTTTATAAAGATATTGCTTGGAGTAACAAAAATGATTACCTAAGAATAAATCTGATAAATAATTGGTTTTCCAGAGTACCTTGTTATATTTTTCAATGGTTATCAGTGAAGCTGAAACAGACTATAATTTATTAAACAGTGTCTAAACTTTCTGTAGTAAGAGCCGTTTAAAAAATCACCTCCTCCTCCCCCCACCCCCCACTTTTTTTTGCTTCCCACTTGGTGCTTCCTGTGTTCTGGGCACCGTGCTTGGGTTTGCAGGAGGGCGTCAGTAGGGAATGGGGGGGAAGACACGCGGTGAGTGGTTTCAGCCTGGTACGTGCCATTCGCAGCACAGAGAGGTATACAAGAAGGATGTTTGCTGAGAAGACAGGGAAGAGGGTCGTGGACAACTTCGCAGATGAGATCAGGTGTTGAACCAAGGAGACCAGGAAGAGTTAGGCGTTCAGTGCACAGTGTGCTCGTTAGGGTCCGGAGGGGAGTGGGTGAGCACGTGTAGGATGGAACGTCACCGTTAATCTAGAGAATAACCCACGCGTTATTGTCAGGTCTGGACGTGAGGGCGCCCCTAGTGGACACCCAGCAAACACTTAGTGTTAAATGAACACGCGGGCTTTCCCTTACTTGTGAAGTTTGTAGAGAAGTGCCCGGCTGGCTTAGTCAGTGGAGGGCGCTGCTCTTGATTGCAGGGCCCATGAGTTCAAGCCCCATGTTGGGTGTGGAGCCTACTTGATAAAATAAAATAAATGAATAAAAAATAAAGTTTCTCGAGGTGATGTATGGCACTGCCTACCCTTGAAAGTTAAAAATGAATGAAGCAATTGAATGAACGTGTTAAATTTCTCACAGTGGAGAAAGTGAACCAGTGATGACATAATGTGATTTAAGTAATAATCTCCCCCCCCTTCTCTTAACATTCTGTTACTGAACAATTGAAAAAGTGAATGTGGCTGTTTTTTTTTTTTTGCCTGACCTTTTCAGACTGATTGCCAAGTAGGGATACAGACCCACCTTGCGGTGAGACTTACACCTTTATGGATGGCTTGTGTGTGGCCCCCCACCTCGATGCTTATAAACATCACATGACAAAAGGCCATCCTCTTTTAAATTATGGTAAAGTGCACACAATGTAAAATTTCCCATGTTACCCAGTTTTAAGTGTACGATTCAGTATTGAGCATCACCCCTGTTCATCTCCAGAACCATTTCATCCTCCCACACTGAAACTCCAAATCCGTTAAATAGGAAGTCCCTGTGTTCCTCTTCCTTAGTCCCTGGCAGACTTCATTCTATCTTTTTTTCTTTCCTCTTTTTTTTTAATGAGTTTGATTCTTACAGGTATTTCAGATAAGTGGAATGAGACAGTATTTGTCGATTTATGTCTGGCCTATTTCACTTAGTATAAGGTCTTCATATTTTATACATTTTATAATATAAGGCCATATTTTAAAAATAATTTCAAGTTTGGGTATTGGTAGATGAGGTAACATAGAGCTTCTCTGTGAGAACTAAAACAATTGGACAGAATGTTAAGAAGAAACTGTGTTTGGAGAGCCTACATGACAAAGAAGAATTCTGGGTCCAAGATCAGAAAGAAGTGAGACCCAGAGAAGTGAGCCCAGCTTCAGACCTCTGAGTCATGTCTTGGTTTTGAAAGAGGACTGAGCAGAGCTTTTGGCAGACTCCTGGGACCGGCAGAACAAAAATCCAAAGTTAGGGCCTGCTAATGAGGGGAGAGCTTTCTTGGTAATCCCCAGGCTGTGATGTGGGACCCAGAAGCCCTGTCCTGTGGGAAGAGGTTTGACTCCGAGTGAGGCTGGCCTTTATGGGAACTGAAACCCAGCCTGTAATCACTTCGTTCGCTGTTGGATGAAGTTGACTTCAGATCGTTAGTTTCCTAGCTGCTTGCCAGAAGCAAACATAAATCTTCCCTGGAAAACTAGAGCATCATTGTGGGTCTCAGACTTTCCATACAGTTGTCCACACACAATGTCTGGCATTAGGTCAAAGTAACCAGGCATATGAGGAGACAAGAGGAGCAGTAATAGAACAGATCCACTGGGAGTCCATCCAGTTAGCTGAATTATCAGAAATTGACTTTAAAATAACTAATACTAAATATATTCAGGGAAATAGCACAAAGGTGAGAATTTCAGCCGAGAACTGGCAGCTTGAAAAAAAGAACCAAAGGACATTTCAGAATTGAAGAATAACTGATACTGACGGGTCAGTGATGACTATGACGACAAATTAGTAACAGCTAAAAAGAATTCATAAACTGGAAGACGGATCATAAGAAAATGTTCAGACTGAAGCTAAGACACTCGGGGAGAGAAAAACATGGGCGTATAAAAAAGAGCTTAAGAGACCCAGGGAAACAAAAACTAATTCCAAAAGATATATGTACCCCTACGTTTATTGCAGCAATACTTACAGTAGCCAAGATGTGGAAGTAACCCAGGTGTCCACTGACACACGAATGGACAGAGGAGACGTATGTGTACACGGTGGAATGTTACGCAGCCAGGAGCACAGAAGGACATTGCTGTTTGCAATGACATGGATGGAACTGGAGAGTATGATTCTGAGCAAAAAATCTAATCTTTTTTTGTTTGTTTGTTTATTTTTGAGAGAGAGACGGAGCGTGAGCAGGGGAGGGGCAGAGGGAGAGGGAGGCACAGAATCTGAAGCAGGCCCCAGGCTCTGAGCTGTCAGCGCAGAGCCTGAAGCGGGGCTTGGACTGATGAACCGCGAGATCATGGCCTGAGCCGAAGTTGGACGCCTAACCGACTGAGCCACCCAGGTGCCCCTGAGCGAAAATCTAATCTTAACCCAAACCTCAGTGTAGTCCTAAAACAGAAACTGTGACCCTTGCCTTCAACTCTGCCCTCTGGAGAGGTCTCTGCACTGTGGGTGGATAGGCCCCTGTCTTCTCCTGGGTCCGAACCCTAACCCAGCCATGGCTCTGGCCCTACCCAGGCCCAAATCCTAGGTCCGAGGATACAGTGGATTTGGGACACATGACCAACACAGGATTACTCTGCCAGGTACACAGAAAGACACCGTGTCATTTGCAACGACCGGGATGGATCTGGAGGGTAGGGACAAGATGAATACCATAGGATTTCACTTACATGTGGAATCTAAAAAACAAAGGCTCATAAATCTTGAGAATAAATGGGGGTGGGCGGGGGTGGGGGGGCTGGGCGAAAGAGGTGAAGGGGATTAAGGGAAAAAAGACCTAGTGAATATAGTGGAAATTGTGTGTGTAATTGGGGGCCCGAAGGAGAGGAGACGATGGAGGGCAGAAGAAAAACTGAGGAGATCATGAACAATAATTTTCAAGTTTGTAATAGAATGTCAACTTAGAGATGCTGTAGACCTAAAGTAGGTAAATGGAAAGAAAACCATCTAAACCTGTCCCGTCGCGAACACCGGACACTCACGCCTCGCAGCGTGAGGCCTGCAGGCTGCCAGTGGAAACAAGACTGAAGCGAGCGAGAGTGGTCAGCTGACTGACCAGCTGACCAGTGGTGCAGAACCAGCAAGAGCTAGGAAGGTACCGGGCTTGGAAGAAAACAAGTGACCCCTTCAAATTCTATACCTGATAAAAATCCTCTCCAAGAATGAAGGTGAATTAAAGACACTTTCTGACAAAAATGGAGAGAATTCATCACGAGGAGATTTGCATCGAAAGAAATTGAAGTTCTAAAGCGTGTTTTTTGGGATCAGAAAGGGTCCCCTCAGAAGCCTGGAGAGGGCAGGAGGAATGAAATGCAGCAGAAAGTGTAAATGTGGGCAAATCCTAAGCGATCCGCTGTTGCATAAATGTGACAGTCATGTTTTGGTGCCTGTTGTGATCTCTAGGGCAGCCGCTAGCACAACAGCGGTGTGACTAGAGCTAGTAGAAGGGTAATAATAATTAAGTCCAAAAGAAGGTAGGATGGATTTAGACCCAAATTTATATGAAACATCATAAGTGGACTGAACACTCCAGTGAAAAGCAGAGACTGGCAGATGGCATAACCAACACGGAATGAATCGTGTGAATACAGAGCCGTGGCCGCACACAGGACTGAAGATCGCCCTGGAAGAATGAAGGGCAGAGTAAGGAGGACAGCACTCCAGCGGCAGTCAAGGCTTAGGAGAAGCCCACGATGAGGGAGACGCTCTCCTTTTGGCTCACAGGTGGGCATCTGACCAGTAGAACAAAATGGAGCTGTTGAGCCACCTGATTTGTGGAAAGTAGAAACCTGAAGCACAGTTAATAGTGCCGGATCGATTGGACGGCCATCCTGGGAAGGAAACTCGAGCCTTCTCTCACACCAGAGGCCTAAACCGTCTGCGGGTGGATTGGAGATGTAACTCTGGAAGTTAAAATGATAAAGCTCCTAAAATAACACGGGATAGTATTTTCATGGTCTTGGGACTGAGAAACACTTCTTAAGCAGGTTATAAAAGCATTAACTGTGAAAGGAAAGGAAGGCTAATTTGGACCGAATAAAAGTTAAGAACTTCCATTCATCGGAAGACACCGTTAGGGGAGAAGATATTTGCAGCACAGGTAACGGGGGTCTTGTTCAGAATATATAAAGGACTCTTACAGATCAATAAAGAAAAAGATGGATGGCTCAGGACAAAAACGGGCAAGAGATTTAATTAAAGCAGTGTTCATAAAAGAAGGTATCCAGATAGCCGTTACAACATGAAAAAGCACTAAATCTCATTAGTGATCAGAGAAATACAGTTCCAATAACGTGGTGGTGTTTGTGCACTCGTGCAAGCTGTCGCATGCTGCCAGGGGAGTGAAAATTGGCAGACCCAGTTTGGAATGCCACGTGGAGTTTTTTGCTGAAGCCGAACGTATCTTTGGCCCGTGACCACCCCACTGCCGGGTATACGCCCGACAGAGTGGGTGCTCATGTACTGGAAGATGGAAGACGTGCGGGATGTTCGTGACATCACTGCTTTTAATAGCGCTGAACTGCAAGTAATCCAAATGTCCAGTACTGGGAGGATGGGTCAGTAGGCATGGTCCGTACGATGGAGTGCCACCGAGCGGCAGCAGCGGGAGAGGACAAAGCACAGCCGCTCGCAGCGGACCGATGACGCCCACACACAGTTGTACTTGAGTCATGTGCCGTGAAGTTCAGAAAGCTGCAGGCCTGATCTGGGAGGTGGAACTGCGCTAGAGCCTTTGGGAGGTGGAGCATTTAGGAAGGAAGTTTCTGGTGTTAACATCCTGTTTCTCCATCAGGATTTTGGCTACGTGGGAACGTTCACTGAGATACGTGCTTACGTTTTGTATGCTTTCTGAATTGATAATGCTTTATTTACTTTTTATTTTCTTTAATGTTTGTTTATTTTTGACAGAGAGAGACAGAGCATGAGCGGGGGAGGGGCAGAGAGAGAGGGAGACACAGAATCAGAAACAGGCTCCAGGCTCTGAGCTGTCAGCACAGAGCCCGATGCGGGGCTAGAACTCACGGACCGCGAGATCATGACCTGGGCCGAAGTCGGACGCTCAAACGACTGAGCCACCCAGGCGTCCCGATAATGCTTTAATAAACATGTTAAAAATATATTTAACGAAGATATGGATTTTCTTTTGTCCTGCTGATTTACTGTTTAAAGGCCAGACCTTTGTAACCATCAGACAGCTAACTTCCGTCAGACTGTTATTTTTACAGGCTGATTTTACCATTGATAGTTGTTGTAACCAGTTTTGTTTTGTTTTGTTTTGGCCACGGTCCATCAGGACCAGTTTTGAATGAGTCTATCCAATCAGGATTTGTTGATATTGCCACTTACTGGGTTGACTCTATAAGGAATTACTGTCTTTTAGGTCGTGATAAACTGTGCCATTCCTAAAGGGTTGAAGTACAATCAAGCTACACAGACCTTCCACCAGTGGCGAGACGCCAGACAGGTGTATGGCCTCAACTTTGGCAGCAAGGAGGATGCCAATGTCTTCGCAAGTGCCATGATGCATGCCTTAGAGGTGTTGAATTCACAGGAAACAGGTACGGTGTCCAGGCTTACTCATTTCCTTGAACCGAGGTGCCATGTGTGTGTATGTGTTAAATAGATTTGAAATAATTCTTGAATTTTTGTTGTTTTCCACAGAAAGGTGAACTTTTGTTTGTTGATGCTAAACGTAGAGCCTGAAGATAGTCTTACGAGATTGGTTAGTTAGTAAATTTGTAACCCTGTCATTTGTAAATTAGTTATGCTCATTCTTCTCTAGAACCTCAGCTTTTGTTGCACGGATGTGAGGCTCAGAGAATGTGCAGTGGATAGAAATTACATGTATTTATCATCTCACCTCGTATGAAGACACAAGTGTTTTCTGAAACACGTTTTTGAAGCCACTACTGAGCCCATGAGCCTCAAGTAGGACTGGGTTTCCCTCATTCTAGTAGGCAAGAACTGGATTCTGAAAGTTGTTTAAAGGTTTTTAGGAGTGCCCTCAGGTGGTGCAAGCCATGAATTGCATTTCCTCTGACACTTGATGATGGTTAAAGATCTGCAGAGATAATTCACTGTAAAAACCCAGGATTTAAAACTATATAGGTATCAGAGATAAGCTGTGTTTTAATTTTGGTCCACAGAATTGAAAACGAAATACACCAATGTGTGGTTATCTCTTTGGGGAGATAGGTTTTATATTCTGAAAGTAAGTGTCTTATGTAAAACAATAGAAGTACAATTATTCTTGCCTTTGTTGTGTTGTTAGTAGTGATCTCGATGATATGAATGTGCTATCAACAAAATTTGTGTATTTTAAGAGGGGAGAGAGATTAATTTTGGATATTCTGTTGAAGGTACAGAGTTTGAAAACCTATCATAGATATGTTAGATACCTTATTTATACCATGCCTTATCTAGCCCATGTGTTAGTCTATTTCAGATACGAATTTCAGAGCAAGAAGACAGTTGGGAATCTTGCCGAAACTACGTTCTTATGCCTGTAGATGGTTTATGTTAGATCTTTTGAGGAAATTAAGATTTCTGCAGATAATCTGTACATAAGCTCTTACATCCTGTCGATCTGAGAAAATAGGCCTCTGGAGCTTCTGATGTGTCACTAAGTGCAGAAGATAGCATGGGACCGCTTGCTGGTGTGTACAGTCATGGGTGTGGATGGTCGAAGTGCCGCCAGTGGGGGTCCCTTGTGGGCGCCGTCGCGGGCACAGTGCTGCTCCTCTCTCGTCATGGTCTCACCCTAGGGAAGAAACCAGAGTTGTGACCCTTCACATCCCATGAAGAGGCCAGCTGCATAACACATAATCCAAGGACCAGAGTGTGGAGGGGGTATGTAGACAGTGACATTCGGCTTCGCTGTGTTTAAAACAGACTAGCAGTATTTTTATTTCTCAACCTTCAGAAGAGTGTCGGTGGACTTACATTAGGAACTGAATGCTATCGAAGTGGTTAAAATGATTGTTTTTTATCTTGTCATCCAGGTTTTTTTAATTAAATGGAAAGGATTGTTTTTATCAGCATGTAGTCCGATAGTTGGCTTTCGAAAGGCAAATGCTAATTAATGTTTTTTCTTCTGATCTGGATCTTTTGAAGTTAATGAGTCTTAATGTAGAGAGACTCAATTACATTTTCTTGTAATTTCCGAAGATCGCCCATCATCTCACTAGCTACAAACATTTTGGTAAGGCAGAAACATTTAGCAGAGTCTTCTCAGTTGGTCTTGAAGTTTTGTTCTCTTCTGTGTCGCAGCCTGAGCCTGTACTGCCGTGGGCTGAGGCGACGGAGAGGTTGCTAGGACAGGCTGGCCCGTCTTAACTGTCTCCCTGCATCGTGGCCCCTGTCAAGGCACAGAGGCCCTTGGTTTGATGGCAGTTTCATTAGAGAAAACAAAGCATGTGAGATGGATCGTGTTCTTTATAGTCTGATCTTTTTAGGAAATGACTTTTTTCATAAATTACTATAGATAAACGGTAATTTCTGATCTTTGATGGCATTAATTAATTGGCTTGGAAATGGAGGCACAGGAGGATTCAGATGCTAGGAAGCAGAAGGGTAAAATTTTTTCCGTGGATCTCCAAACTGGGATCTGGACGTATCACCCCAGTATTATTCAGGGGGCCCCTCCCAGCCACCTAAGCAAACACCCCCAGTAATGTCCCCCTCTCATCTGGAGCATGCCTTGCCTTCCACAGCTGTTTGCTCTGGGTCCACAGCCAGTTCCTTGCTGAAACCATCCATTGTCTTCCTGCCAAAACCAAGTCGAAAAAGCTTAACTTGTGTGTCCCCTCCCTACACAAACAATATACCCAATAAATCTCTGATCAGAAGCAACAGAAATAAACATTCCTAAGGGTAAAGCGACTGCAGATCCCCGTCTTCCTGCTTCTTCACGGTTAGCACTTTTTAAAACCACTTTTCTATATTGAATACTTGTGTTTCTTTGTTTGCTGTTTAGCTGTTAATGTCAGTACTAGCCACTGAATACCGGTTTATCCTTGTGAGTAAGTTTTAGGCTTGTTAAAGTCATACACACCTTTGTTCAGACAACGTCTTCTTCAGAAACCCAGTGCACACACAGACGAGACCGTGAAGCCGCTCTGACCTATGTGGGGGTCGGGGCCCCTGGCCGCCGAGGCGCCAAGCGGGGGCAGCGGTCACTAACCCGTCCATTCTGCCAAAACCCGCAATAGCCCGGTTTTCCTTTCTCTCTCCCTTGCCCCCGAGTCCTCTAAACCCTCAAAACAAATTTTTTTTTTAATTAAAAAACAGCTTTCTTTGGGGCTATTCATACTGACCTTTATAAGGTACTCTGTGTGGGGTGTGTGTGTGTGTGATATTTCCATCTCTTTTATGAAAAGGGAGGGTGGCAGGAATGTTTTCCTTTATTTTGTTTTTAACTTGCTGTGCAATTATCTAATATACTGGAAAGTACAGGAGGTGCTAAATACAGCCAGTTATATTTGGAATTTAAAAAACACAAATCACATGTTCTAACATTCTTGAAAAAGAATTGAATTAGGCTTCATTCTTTTATACCAAATGCTACAGTTTCTCGGTCTCCTTTCTCTAACGGACGTAGACTCGATTTTAAAGCGTTACATTCAAAATGTGTTATCCAGACTGATTATTTTTCATTTCTGTGTTATTTGTCAAGTACATTTATAACAGTTTTGCAGATAATAGTTGTGGGTTACATAAAATACACAGTTAGTCCTTGTGATGATTAGTGGAGGTAAATTTGCACAATCTGTTTTTGAGAAAGGTCCAGGTCATTTGAAAATAGGAAATAATCTTTTAAACTCACTTGTTTAAAAGGAAAATCAGACTGAAACCAGCAAGTATGTTCTGCTTTTGTTCTTTTCAACCAAGATTAAGCATACCTTTGTAGAAGGAACACCTTCAAATACCTTACCATTAACTAAGACTGTTTTTGATAGATATTATTTTATAGCTATTGAAGATGGGACCACAGTCAAAGAAATCCTCATGTTTAAAAAAATTTTTTTTTATTTTTTAAAACATTTAATATAGAGAGATTCCATTTTTTTTTTTTTTTTGCTCGAAACTTGGTCTGATATATCTTTCAATGGGAGCATTTATATGAATTTTATCTCAGCATTTTTTAATATTTTTGAGATATGCTTTAGAACTAATTGGATTTTAAAAATCTCAAAAAGTTTCTAGAAATATCTTAAGTTACCAGCGACACTTTCAGTCCTGAAGTTTTCAGTCCTGAAGATGGCAGTATCCACAGGACAATACTGAGGTCATGTTGCAGAAGCTGTCCTGTACGTTTTGAGCACAGGGTCTGTGCCAGGCACTGGGAATGTTCTCGCCAGAGAAGCCTGTCCCCGGCCCCTGGGCTTCCAGTCTGGCCGGAGCTGCTGGAAACGAGAGCGGCTCGTTGGCACACGGTGTGGAAGTGCTGTGAGTGAAGTATGCAGAAAGGCCTTTGGAATGCCCGAGAAGGTTCCAGGGTCAAAGTGGGGATTTAAAGAGAAGATGACACTTGAGTTATGTTTTGAAGAATGAGTAGGCCTCATGAGTGGTAGAACATTCTAGATGGGGTCGAGGGCATTGGAACTTGGGGAGATTGGGAAACAACAGAGAGACGTGTGGTGGCCTGGGCGCAAGGGGTTATGGAGGAGGGGACCTCGAAGGAGAAGTCGGGGAGGCTGGGAGGGCCTGCGACTCGGTGCCGGGCTGGGGGGACACTGGGTGAGTGCTCCTGTGACCAGGTGGGTGCTTTAGGACGGGAAGGGCTGCCCGGCAGGAGGTTGGTGCCACTGTGATGCTGCCCCGGAAGTGAAACAGCCCCAGCAAAAAGCGAGCAGAGTGGAGCACAGGTGACACTATGACCTTCCATGCCCGTCCGTCGGCATTTTGTCCTTAAAGCAGGGCTGAGGCGGGAACGACGTGTTCGTCAGGTGCCTGCTGCCCGCCGGCTCCCGACCGGGCGCATGCGTCAGTTGTGGTCTTTGTAATGGCCCACAGTCGGCCGTGACCTCCTGTGAGAGGCGGGGGCGCAGCCTGCACAAGTCCGGGGACTGGCCCCGGGCCACAGCCGCGACGTGGCCCTGTGCCCTGACTCGCTTACAGTTGTCCAGTGGCGTGCCGGGCGGGCCGGGACGAGGCTATGCCGTGGTCAGGTGGTGCCACATGTGTCCGGCAGGGGCCGTGGTGAACGTGGCCTTAAGCGGACGGGGACGGGGGTGGGGAGGCACAGATTCGGTGTGGACACCTGCATTGGGAGCACTTCAGTGCCCCCAGAAAACCATACAGGATCGGACCCTGGGAGGATCCCACACGTGACCTCGGGTGGTAGTTTCCACTTAGTTTGTTCGGTCACTTAAGCTTGTCACTATTGTCGCAGAACTGCTGCCTCATACTGAGGTTCGTTGTCTCGCCGCGTCGAACAAGGAAGGTGTGGGCGCAGTAGAACGAGCAGCAGGCAGAGGTTGATTCGAGTAGAAGATGAGGAAGGAGGAGTGCGGAAGCTCTTGTTACGGAGAGGGGACACGTGGGAGCGAGTGCCCGT